TGATGGAATAGTAGAATTAACTATGTTTCTTTCGTCTTTCAAATGCTTGAAAGATGAAATTAGCAGCTAGCCTGCTGATATGTGAATCAGTATTGTTAAAAAGAAAACAGACTTTATCATGGATATTGTAGTGTGTAAATAATGTATTTCGGTCGTTGATTTTAATAAAAAGAGTCTTTCTCAAATCATTGTATTGATCACAGTGAAATAATATGTGCAGTTCATTTTCAACCGAATTTTGGCTGCAATGATCACAGATTCTAAGGTCTTCAGGAGTTTTGGGGATTGTAAATCTTCCAGTTTCTATTTTTAAATTATGATTTCCTATCCTAAATTTGGAAGCTACACGCCTATGTTCAGGATTCCGGATATGATTGATGAATTCAGAGTGATTTGTTTCATTTTTAAAGATGGAGTAGAATTTTAGTTTTTTATTTGTTCTGATCAAATTTAGCTGGTGGTTTTTCAGATGTTTTGACAAAGTATTCTCAGCTTTGGATAGGAAAGTAGAAGGGTTTTTAAAGTTAACTGACTGTTTGTGAATATTAAGTTGTGTACTCAAAAGATTTATTTTATTTATTAGACCTGATTTATTTTCTTCGGCCATTTTATCCGATATGTTTAAGCAGAGTTTAGCGATGCTGTCAGGGGTTGATTTTCAAGGCGAATCCAAAATTTGAAAATGTTCATTGTTATTTGTAAATTTAGAGATAATCTACCAAGCTCATTTCTCGATGCAACATTCGGTGAACGTTTGTTTAAACCTAAACACATCTTACAAAAATGTATATGCGTTTTCTCAATCAAGTCTTTATCCCAGCGGCTATAATCACTTTTATCATAGATTCCCCAAACTTCAGAGCAATACGTTAAAATTGGGAAAAATAGTGTATTGAACAGTTTGTTGATGATGTGAATTGGTAATTTTAGAAAATCTAGATAACGACGAGCGGCAAAAAAAAGGATCTCTTTGTTTTTTCTGTTAAGTTTTCCTTGTGATTTGTAAAATTTCCATTGGCTGAAAATTTCACTCCAAGATAGGTATAGTTATTGACGATTTCAATGTTTTCATTGCTAACCATAAAATTGTGTTTATCTATTGCTGATTTTCTACTTTTCTTTTGAAATACAATAACTTTGGTTTTAGTTGGATTAATCTTAAGAAGCCAATCCTGACAATATTTTGATAGTCTGTCAAGACTTTGTTGCAAACCTTCTGCCGAGGTAGATATTAGAAGTAAGTCATCGGCATAAAGTAGACAGTTGAAGTGAGAACCATCTGGTAGTAAGATAGAATCTTTAGCATTGTTATTTAGAATGAGGGGTAGTTCGTTTAGATAAAGGTTAAATAGAAGCGGCGACAGAATACAGCCTTGTCGTACACCTTTATCATAGTTGAAAAATTCTGATCGAGTATAATTGTCTTTCACACAACATATTGAATTTGAATACATGCTGGAAATTATTTTGTAAAAGGAGCCACCTATGTTATATTTCAACAGTTTGTATAGTAAACCTTGGTGCCAAATTGAGTCAAATGCCTTTTTAAAATCAACAAAACAAGTATAAAGTTTACCTCTGGGGAGTGGGTAACATGTTGGTCTATTAATGTTCTTAAACTAAAGATATGTTCGGACGCACGATGTCCGGGCACAAAGCCAATTTGGGAGCGATGAAGTATTTTATGATTGTTTGAAAAGTTTAATAATCTCGTATTTAAAATAGAACAAAAGACTTTGCCAAGACAACTATTAATGCAAATACCTCTGTAATTTGAAGGGTCATCTTTGTTTCCAGATTTATGTAAGGCAGTGATTATTCCATTACTCCATGATGTAGGAAATGTTCCAGATTGTAGAATCAGATTAAAAAGTTTCTCAAGTGGATATTTTATAAAGCTTGAGCTTGTTTTAATCATTTCATTGCGTATTCCATCAAGTCCAGCGGCCTTCTTGTTTTTTAGTTTTTTAATTGCTTTATCAATCTCTTCAATGGATATTGGGTTGTCTAATTCCGATTGTAAATGGTTGCTGTCCTCCAAACGCTTTTTATCGTTTAACATGTGTATTTGAAATGCCGATAATGTATTAGGATCAGGTGCTGAGTGTAGCATTTTAAAATGATCATAAAGTTTATTGGTCGGGTTTTCGTTATTATTATAAGACAAGATGTTTTCGTTCATTGACTTTAGAGTATCCCAAAATTTGCGGTTATTTTCGTTACTAATCAGCTCATTTATTTTAGAGTCAACAAATTGTTGTTTTTTTTGTTTTATAAGTTTTTTAAAGGTTTTATTTTGAACATGATATTCTTTTCTGAGTTCGGTATCCAGAGGATTGCGGTGTTTTTTGTTAGATAACTTTTTAAGTGAAGATCTTAACGTTTTGCAATCATAATCAAACCACTTCTTAGTAATTGGCTTTCTTTTAGATTTCTTTTGGCTACTTAATTTGAGTGAACGTTTTGCGGCCTCAGTCATAATGTTTGTGAATTGATTGGTAGCATTTTCAACATCTGTACTGCTTGAATCGAAGTTTGTACTTTCGAAGAGATGTAATAAAGACAGAATAGCGTTGGAACGAAAGGCAGTAGTGAATTTTGCTGCAGACGTTTCGTCCCAGACATACTGTTGTGGAAGCTTAACGTTGTTTCTCTCTTGAAAACTGTTATTATTATTTGAGAGGTCTGCACCAGTTTTGATCCAGCAGACAATTTGAGAGTGATCTGAAAATATGTTTGGTTGCTTTACGGCGAAACCTTGAACCGAAGTGAACAGGTCATGGCTAACGATAATATAATCTACAGTACTTATTCCATTAATAGAGTGAAATGTGAATTTTCCTAGGGTATCTCCCTTCGATCGGCCGTTTAGAATCCTTAGATCACAGGTTTTACAAAGATCAAGTAATTGTTTTCCATGATCGTTGACAATGTTATCAAAGTTCTGTCTTTTAGGGAGATTGGGTGGTGGAGGAATGTCTCCGCCAGGTATAAACTTGCCACTTTCATCCGTGATAAAATCATTTTCTTTTCCAGTTCTAGCATTAAAGTCACCGGCTAACACAATTAAACCTTTTCTGTGAAATAAAGCTATATCTGTTTCAATGTTGGAGAATAAATCTGGGTCAAAATATGGTGAGTCGTGGGGGAATATAGAGGGCACATAGATAAACATCTTGTTCTAAATTAAAAAACGTGATTTAGTTTACACCAGATATAATTATTATGTGATTTAACAAATGAAATGCCGCTTCGTAAATAATTCTTGTACCCTAGGACTAAACCCCCTGAAAGTCTTCCAGTTTTCTTTTTGTAAGTTTTTTGGGCTGCGTTTGAAAAAGTGTTAAAGCCAGGAATTTGCACGTCATCTTTCATCCAAGATTCAGTTAAAATTACAATGTCATGTTTATTTATATGATTGATGAATTCTTCATTTGTTAATTTGTTCCCAAATCTTAAACGATCAGTTAACCCATGAACGTTCCAGCAGCTAAGACTAAGTATTGATTTACGACTTACACTTAAAGGCGAACGGCAACCGCTGAAACACATTTCCAAATCGGGGTATCATGACGGGGTGTACGCTCAAAATAAGGGAGATCAAAGCTTTCAAAAAATAAAATAAAAATAAAATAAAATAAAATAAAAATAGAAATGAAAATAAAAGATAAAAAAAAAATTAATAATAATATAATATAGTAAAATAATAATAGTATAATATGTTGATATATGTAAATAAAGTAATTAACTATAAATACCTTAATTTTGACGCATTGTTTCATAAAGGTTTAGTAAATTTAATACGGTTTCAATGTTCAGTGGCGGCGGATTTGTGGCGTTACGTTTCACCACCGACGAGTAAAGGGGTTTTCCACCCAGGCCAAGGTGGTTGTTTCCAGGGACAGGAACTCGAGGGAGAAACTCTCGTTGACCAGGCGTTGATAAAATTCTGCTCGTCGGTGATGGTGGTAGGTCTAGTACTCGGGTGTTGAGGTTAGACGGTAAGTTCCTTGATTGGATTCTCCTAAGTCTGTTGAAAACAGTGTCCTTCAAGTTTGTCACTAGGAGGCCAATTCGCTTGCGTTTTAGATGTTTGCTGTCGTAAAGATTTTCAACCGTGATATTGTCGTTATTCACTAGATGGACATTTGGGTATGGGGCGCAGAGATGTCCAAGTTTTGTATTAAATTCTTGCCTTTGTTTATCGATACCGTCTGCGCGGATAAGGAGCGATGAGACGATAACTTTTGACGATGAGTGTTTCTCAGAAACAAGTTTGAGTAGTTCATGGTAGTTACTAATGCATTGTGAAGTGCGCAGTTTTTCTAAATCGTTTGTGCCAGTGTGTATGATGATGTGGCTTGGATTGCCGAGATCATTTGTTGCAAGAAGATCAGTGGCTGATGTAATAGTTGGTGTGAAATATTGGTGGGTAGGGGTTCTCGGACTGAAGCGCTCACAATCAATGTATTTGCCATTAGAGTCAATTAGCATGATTATTGAATTGATGGTGGACTGGTTTTTCTCATGCTGAGGAGGGCGATTTGTTTGGGATTTTTCGTTTTCTTTCCTGGTGAGGATTTCCTGAGTGGCGTGACGGACATCATTAGGTGAATGCGAAGGTGAAGCCGTGTGGATATCGCCGTCACCTGGATCGTCATCCATCAGACCTGAGAAACTGTTTGATAAAGGAATTGAGGCATCTTCTGGATATTGAGATTGTTCCGAGGGGGGATTTGTTTCCATTGTCGGTAGAGACTGGCTATTGTGATCAGACAGATCAGAACGCCCTGCTGGGCCATTGATTGTATTACTGCCAGTGCTATTTTCTGAAGAGTTGTTGGATTGCAGAAGGCACTTAATTTGCTTGATTTCTGATTTAATAAAGTGTATGTCCGCTTTGAGTTTAGAATTCTCCGATTTCATTTTGGCGTTTTCTGCTTTAAGGAATTCATTTTCAGTTTCCAGGTCCTGCATCCTAGAATGAAGGGTCTGAGAATCTACTTTGGTTGAGTTTCCCATTTGTGTGATTTTGTCTCTAGTGCGAATACTTGTTCCTCGATGTGATGATCGTTTGCGTTTCTGAGTTCTGCCACATCCGCTTCGATTTTGCTGATTAATTCTTTCAGAGTTGCGATGCTGTTGCTTTGTCTGGGGGTTAATAGGGAGTCAAGCGAATTCCTTCTCTTCCGGGGCCGAGGTGTTGCGCAACTGGCCATGTTGTCTTCACCGATATCTGATTTTGTTTTCAGATTAGTTGGGAAAGCATGGTCGAACTGTTCGGTGCATGTGCCAGGTTGGTCGGCTTTCCTCTTCTTCAGAGATTTTGTTTTGTTTGTAGGTAGGCACAAGACCGCCGTATCCAGGTTCTTGAAAAGGAGTTCGGTATCTTCAAACGTGAATAAAGGCTCCTGCGGAGCTTGGTCAACTGATGTGTCTGTGAAATCCTTTAGTAGAGGGAATTCATGTTCTGCCCACAGTTTGTAAGCAATTCCCTGGAACATAATAACTCCAGTCGTCAGATATGCGTGAATTGTGATTAGGGTAGATTTAGTTTCATCATCACGAGAGGCAGACTGGCTTAGGTCACCGCTCGCGTGTGGATGATCTTCAGCGATACTCAAAATCTTGATTTCGATGTCTTGAAAGGGGGTTGTACCAGAAGATTCTTCATGGTCAATCCATATTACTTTGAAGTGTGTGCTGTCCTTGAGTGTTTCATAATATCTTTGTCAGGAATGAGGCGCAATGTGCTGAGGGCTTGTAAATATCCAAGTCAATAGATTCAAACTTCAGAAGTTTCCTTTTTCCTGATTTCTCCTTAAAATCACTAACAATATACTTTGCTTTGATCTCCTCCATTCTGAAGGTATAAACCCATAGAAAGAATGAGTTAGCGTTGAAAACGAAAAAACAATTACGGAGAGACACACAAGGCACGTCCGTCGCGCGCCATGCTGTTTTCCATACTAATAATAATAATAATAATAGTACAAAAAAACGTGTGCCAAATTTTCTAAGCATTCCTTTCTATATTTCATAACATTGTCACGCAAATGAGTCATTCGTGGCTCCTTGGACAGCGACTGTGGTAGCTTCTTTGGAGGAATAACCAACTTTGTAACATGACAGCTGGAATGTGTCTTCTTCATCAGAGTGACCTTGAATTATGTTATCTAAGCGCTGAAAAAGGAACTTTTTCTGTTTTTGTAGCTTCTGAAACTGATATTTGATAAAGTCTTCTGAGAAGCGTCCTTTGCGATGATGTTGACTGTCTGACGACCTTAGTTCTTTCTGAATTTTGTGTTCTTCGCTACTTGTAAACTTTTTCAAAATATAATCACTGAATCTTATCAAACAAGGATTTTCTCCTTGTGTTGGCTTTAAGCTTCTCTGTTGAATTTTCGACGCTTTCTTCTCTTGATGCTATAATTGCTTTGCTTATTGCATCAAAATTGACCACCCTCTTTTTGTTGGGATTTTCGCCACAATTTCTAATCTCTGTTTTCGTCATCTTCACTATTTCATTTCCTTTCGTTAGTTTTGTACTTTCACTTATAGCGTCAAATATGCGTTTATTCTCCCCTTCCTTTTGACTCCAATTTTCATCCAGAAGGTCGTAGACCTCATTTTCATTAGCGCAGGCTTTTGCATTCATAAGAGCATCGTTCATAATGGAAATAAAAATATTCATGGCCAATATCGTCAGGGTAAATAGAAGTAAGACGGCAAAAATTCTTCCAAAAGTGTCGTTGGCATCTGCCAGTTCATAGATAGGTCTCGCTTTCACGCGCCCTCGAGTCAGTTCGAGTTGAAAATACGTAGCTCTGAGTATCGAAGAGTAATGCCTCGAACCCGTCCCGAAGATCAAAACCCCGAAATGCAGAAAGGCAGTAAAGCAAATCAACATAATAACGGTAAATGATGACAACAGTCGTGCAGACGTCTTCAGCGTTTTTGAAAACACGACAACGTGTTGATCGAAGCGAATAAGTCTCAGAAGTTTGGCAGTGACAATGAATGTTAAAATTTCCAGAGCAGCGTTCTCTATTTCAAGCCAAATGATGACTTCTTGCATGAAAACTGGGGTTTGCGTAAATGTTTTTCTGAAGCTTCTGAATCGTAGAGGTCGCCTTTTTGGATCTCACGATGTACATTACCACAGCCAACAAGGAAAACAATACTTGGAATATTTCTACCCAACCCCATAAAGATTTAAAATATCGAGAACTTTGTTTGTACAGCCTGTAGCACTCTCTTCCAAGGTAAAACGTGACAAATATGGTAAAGAACAGAATACAGATGAGGTAAAATTGTTGCGAACCAGCCCCTGTTGAGTCTAATGAAATAACCTCAGTTCTTGTGAACGGGGTGCTGTATCCAGAAGACCTCATAGAAATACGTCGCGATGCAAAGTAAATTAACAGATGGATTGAAAGAGGAAAATTCCAATATAATGGCTCTGGTTCGCCTGTCGTGCCAGTCATTGTTTTGTAGTGTTTCTATGACGGTAAAGCAGGAGCCTATCAAATGGAGCCTCCATCTCCCATACAAGCCCTTGGAGTCAACCCTTTCCCGAGTAGATTTATAATTAGAACGGTTCCCAGGGGAGACTTCGCGCGCCGACGGTGGGAAGAGCCAATCACAACGACTAAATGACACTGCTATTGTACTTCATGAAACAGCAGGAAATCCGGTGCTGACAGGCCAAACAAAATCATAAGCTAGTGAAACGTGACTTTAGCGTTTTCATCCCTCAGAGATTTTCTTTCTTTTCTTTCCAGCGGGTAGATTATACTGTGGAGAGTTTTAAACTCTGACTATGTTAATCTTAATGTTGGTTGCTTGTCTCACATTAAGCTGGTCTGTTACATGCGTAAGGATTAACTACTACCTGCAGTCTGTAGTTCTGACAGGATTAGTTTTCTTTAGCCAATTTTTTTGAGCGTTAAGGTTCTTATTTCGGCTAAATGACTGAATATTAATCAAATTTCTAGTTTTTCAAGTTTTTATCCGAAATGCGTTTGTCTGAATAAATACTGTGGTTGTTTTGTCCGTCAGTTAGTGTGATGATTCCCTGCTATGTTTTGTAACGCCGAGCCCAGCCATTGTTTTCTCGCAAAAAAGTGATCTACAGATGCGAATTCGAAGGAAAGAATTGGCCTAAACTTCTACATTAATTGCTGAGAATTCTCCTGTTAGTCAGTCATAATTCTTTTGGCGCAGATACAATCCATTTTGTTTTTCTTGAGATAAGAGGGTCTTTGGACTGGAACGCGATGTCACAAATTCCACCGTTAGCAAATTACTTTTGAGTTAGCTTCATCACGGTCGAGCAACTGTTGTCTTCTGTTCAACTTTTCAAGTGCCAGTTTTATCAGGCAACTCTCATGGTGATACAAGTCAGTTGTAAAGGAAGACTGCAATTTTTCTGAAGCATTCCTCCTTAGTTGCTACTTAGGTCATCGCTTTTGCACACGGTGCTTAACTGGCGAAATCCACTACACGGCGATGACAAAAATAAATGATCCTGGCACTTTTTCGGCGCTGATCATCGAAAAGTTTCAAATCGTCCACAGAACGCTTAATCGTCGACTCTTTTCAAGGTGCATGCTTAAATGTGGGATGTATGACGGCAAAAAAAAAAACAAAAACAAACACTCGCAAAGAACCTTTCCGTGATCCTCAGTTCGCTGCCTTTGTCCCATCGCTTCATGCTCAGTCTCAGTCGGGTAATTCATTAACTTTTATTTCATCCCAGATCCCAGCGGCTGTAAAACTGTAAAAATGGACGTATAGTAAAAAAGGAAAACGGTCGAAGGACGGGCTTCTGAGTTCGAATTCATCCAACTTCATTTTTTTCACGGTGACATACGAGACTCACGGAAATATGACACTTTTCGCGGGAAACAAGCCGTTCTATTTATAAATCTACTCGGGAAAGGGTTGACTCAAGAAATTAATGGAGATGGAGGCTCCATTTGATGGGCTCCTGGGTAAAGCCTGTCGAGTTTTCATAACCTAAGTCGGCCACGAAACCTCCACCAGGATAAAACGAGAACTGTCCCCACTTAGGAACCGTGTCCGTATTCACGGCACTTTGGTATCTCCAAGACTTTGGGCAAAGTCGGAAAAGTTCGTCTTTATTCGTGGAGCTGTCGACAGGCTTCCACCCTGGCTTGTTGGAGGATGTCTTATCTTCGTTTAAGCGTAAGTACTGTACAGTACCGCAAATGATCCCCAGCCGCAAATGATCCCGAGACCGCAAATGATCCCCAAAATGAACCGCAAATGATCCTCGACCGCAAGTGATCCCTAAAGTCGACCGCAAATGATCCCGTGAAAACTGGAGGAATGGAATGGATTTTACGGGACTGATTACAAAAAAGGACTGATTGTAAAAAAGAAACCTTTTTCTCTCGCCTTTTAAAGAAAAAGGGAAGGAGGACGCTACATCTCAGGTCAATTTATACAAGGCGAAAAAAAAAAAATGGAATAAATCTGAAAAGGAATGGTATTAACCGTATACTTCTTCCTATGTCGATTGCTTCAATTTTCTTTCAAGAATGTTTCGTCTTTTGAAAAATTTAAGACAGGTAGGATGTTACGCAGAAAATACTCTATTATTTTAACGCCTAGAAGCTCAATTTTTCTACTGAGGAATACAAAGCCGGGCATTTCAAAAGAGGTTAAAGGAAATGCTCTTGCATCAAAGGGCAAATCATGCCGACCAGAAACATCAATAACCGCAGGAAATGAGTGTCATGACCTCTCAGTATGAAATAAGCGGCAAAAATCACATTTGCTCAAAACGTTTTCTTCAGAGGTATAATCTACCCGCCGAAGCCGGAAAAAAGTCATTGGAATAAGCAGCATTTTAGCATGAGGTAAAAGTCGTGTGTTGCCTACCGACTTCGTTTTTACTCTTGAATGATTTTTTTCATTTAGTTTTTACTCATATATTTATTTGAGAGGTAAAGTTTAGCTTTTAATCTGACTTATTGTAATAATAATAAAATCGACACACGATGATCCGCTAAGTTGAGTCCACGTCATTCCTATTTTTCTTTCGGGATCATTTGCGGTCGACTTTAGGGATCACTTGCCGTCGAGGATCATTTGCGGTCCATTTTGGGGATCATTTGCGGTCTCGGGATCATTTGCGGTTGGGGATCATTTGCGGTACTGTACAATACTTCACATTGCGCGTATTTTCAGCTCTTCGAAGCCAGTGGAACCCCATATCATTCCTCTCAAAGTTCGCTTAGCGGCAGCATTGAAAGAGGAAAGCTAAATGACAGGTATTTGTGAGTGACTGTGAGCATTGAATCTTGTTGCATTTTTGCATTTTAATACTGTATTGGGTATACACCTGTAATTCTGTAATTAAATCCCGAAAACCAATAAAAGGTTTCGTTTAATTATTTTTTTGTGGCAAACCCAGAGGAGATTTTAGGGTACTAATATTGATGATTAAGAGGATCTACAAAAGGCAAGTTTAAATTTCGCCAGTGGGTCACTGGTGGTTTTTGGGTGTAAACTAGTACAGTTTGTGGTGTACTGTGTGTTGTTTGTCATGATGTCAACTAACATTGAAAAAAAAATAAGCTGTTTCAGAGGAGGGACATGTCTTGACAGCTTATGGTTTTTTCTGGTCGTAAGCTTGGCCACTATGCAGATCAAGAGCTTTGAAATCCCTTTTCCGAAATAAAACTCTAGAATCAAGCTTAAAATATATCTTTATCCAAGAGCATGACCAGCAGGGTCAGCAGTAAGAATAAAGGAAAAAAGGCCAAAAGGAAAAATAGTGTTAAAAAAAATCGGCCAATCAGAAAAAAACGGTATAAAGAAAACAGCGTCGCCGGGAGTCGAACCCGGTTTATTTACACGTGCAAGCAACTCCCTTGACCACTACACCATAGTGACACACGTGAATCGATAGAGTTTTTGTCATATCAAAACAATTTTTCGCTGCCATAGACACTATTTGAAGCTGGTGGAGCTGTATTTATCATGAATTCAAATAAACATTTTGAGGAAAATTAACTTAAGTGCGTATTTCAGAGCTATTTCGCGCGAGTCACCCCGGCGTGAGTTCACCCTGGCTGTTGTACCGGGGCGAGAATTTCACTTCGGTACGAAATCTCGCAACGATGTCATGTAAACGCGAAACGACCACGCGTTTCGGTGTGAAATCGGTCTGCCGGTAGACAGCAACGGGTAGCGCATGCGTAATGTTTCATTTTGAATCCTACTTGCATTTTATCAAGTATACCTTTAAATAACGAGATATGAAATGACCCAGTCATAATGTAAAAGCGATACGAAACAAAAAAGTCATCCCGGTATGAAACTCGAGCCGATGCGAGTTTTTTCATGTAAACATCCCTTACTTGATGTAATCTCTCCGTTCATTAGAATCTTGAACCGCGGCACTTGGATATCGTGCACATGGCTTCCATTTCTTATTGGTCAAGTGTGTTCTCAACTGTAGTGTAGCCCATACTTGGCGGCGAACTTCGGCTTCTTTGAACTACGAACGTTTCCATGGTCACCAAGAAAGGTTAAAGTAGGTACATTTTACCCCTTCACACCTAAAGTAGCTGGGTTCCAAGTACACTTACATCATACTTGAAGCTGTAGTGTGAAGCCAACAAATAAGCTGGCACTTCAGTCAGAGAGTCAAAGGACAATACATGCGTCGGCATCCTTTGTAAGCGAGCAAATAGTCATGGGACCCGCGATTTTGCGGCCGAGGCGGATCAATAGGCGGAATTGTGTAATGCAACATATCACAGTGGCGCCTTATTCTTGAATATATTTATCTACTAGTTTAACTTAGTTCTCGCGGTGAAAACACTGGAACATTGGCACTTTTTCGTGTTGATAGCTGATAGTTGTTTCTTTGTAAAATAACGTAATCAGTGACATAATAAATGTGTTAAAATAACCTTATTGTGTACTCTTTCGAGCAAGTTAATTTCGTGTTTTGTTTTTGCTGACTTTTGACATCAAAATAGCTAATTAAAAGGACTAGACAAAAGTGTCTAGACTCAAGTTACTAGGTGGCACAAGTTATCAAGTTACACATGCTACGAGGTTACACAAATTACGATATTACAGTAGTTACAAGGTTACACGACTCAACAAAATTGACAACGAGAGAATGACTGATAACCGACAATTTGACCAACAATAAATGACGATCTAAATGCACCATTGACATCACGGCTTAACTGACAGGCGACCACTAACATAGCGATTTCATTGACAAATCAGGTCAATAACTAGTCGGTATAATGCCATCAACTGACGTCATACGACATACTTTGACTACCGCATAGTTTATCGAAAGCTGGGCCACTGTCAATAATCCTATTCAGGGCTGACACGCGGAATAATAGCGAAGGTCCACGCGCGCGCGGAGCCCCATAGCTAAGTAAATCTACCCATCCCAGGTGGGCCACTGTCAATAATCAGGGCTGAC